AGGGCTCTGAGCCTCTGAGCCTCTGAGCCTCTGAGGTCATCCCGCGGGTCCTCGCTTCCCCACTTGTACAAGGTTAGGTACCTAATGCAGGTACTTGCGCCGGGCGACGCTGCAAGAGTGGCAGCGCGCTGTTGCTCTGCTCTACTGCTCTGCTCCTCTGTTCTTCAGCTCTACTACAGTCTACCACACCACTCAGTCCCCGCAAGTGAGGGGCCCCCTGCATTTCCACATCCCACTTCCTCATCGCAGCAGACTTACTTCGATCGTCTTGTCGTATTGTTTTCCTACCATTGCCTCCTTTTCGCAGCCAAATAAACACGCTTTCCCCGTTCAGCATCATGTTCAACTGGGCAAAGCAACAGTAAGTTTGGAACAAGCACGCAGCTCTTTATACCCCGGCTCTTGCACCCCCATGGCTCCGCAGTCTCAGCTAACCCATGAATCCTGTTCTCTCCGTCGCCAGGCTGGCCAACGTCGCCGGCACACAGGAGCCCATCTATGGCCCGTCGGCTATCAGATCCGTCGCCGAAGAAGCAAAGGACATTCCATACACGGAGATCACCCGCGATGACCTGAAATGGAAGGCCATGGATTCGACCTGTGTCGAGACTCAGACTTTTTATCTGGCGTCGGACAATGGTGACGTTGGTCTCGTCCAAGTCATCTATAGTAACGTTGCGTGCGTGGAGCGTCTTCTTCTCCTCTTTTATCTTGCGATTTACCTTCAAGGCCACCATGGATATACTCTGAGCTAATCCACCGCACCATCTCTCCTTTGGATCAATAGCGGGATGCGGACCACCTGCCAGTTCAACTCCAAAATATTCTCTAAAGATGCATCCAAGCCTCACCTATGGTGCTCGACCCCTCTGAATAACTTTGGATTCAATGAGGACCAGACCGGCTGTTTTGCGGATGACTGCGTCCTGGAGCTCTCGCAAGACGGAAACGAGTATACCATCAAGAGCATGAACGATGAGAGATCAATCGTCAATATCAAGATTACCAGAACTGCCCCTGGCTTCGTCGCCGGCAAGACCGGAACTACAAACTACGGCACCAACCTCGAGAAACCGTGGGGCTGTATTCGGCACGTCTTTTGGCCACGATGCGCCGCCGAAGGTACAATCACCACCCCCGATGGCCCAGTCGACTTCAAGGGTCGCGCCATGTATTCGTTTGCGCTACAGGGCATGAAGCCTCACCACGCCGCTGCCAAGTGGAATTTTGTCTGCTTCCAGGGCCCCAGATACTCTGCCATCATGATGGAATTTACCACCCCCGCCTCGTACGGCAACACCTTGGTCAACGTGGGTGGTATCGCCAAGGATGGCGAGATTCTCACTGCTGGCGCCGGCCACGAGATCATTCATGCCGAGGTTAAGAACGATACGGAGAACGAGTGGCCGGAACCCAATGCGGTCAAGATGGCGTGGAAAGACACCGAAAAGGGTGCCAAGCCAGTCAGCGCCACCATCGAGGGCAGCTTGGGCCAGAGAAGTGACCGCGTTGATGTCATGGCAGAAGTGCCGGGCTTCGTCAAGACCATCGTGGCTGCTGCGGCAGGTACAAAGCCCTATATATACCAGGTATGTCATATATACGACAGTCGTCGTCGTCGGCTGAATACTTCATGCTGCTCTACTCACTGACACACAACTCTTCCGATCCTCAGTACACACCAAATATGACATTGAAGCTCAAAATCGGAGATCAAGAAATCGCCGAAGAGGGCCAGCTCCTGATGGAAGCTACATTTATCTCGGAGTAGTACAAGCCGCGACTACGGTAAGCATGTCTATCAAGGTAATAGTACCGCGTTGTTGTTTAGTTTGGAGGATAATGTCCTGTGACGCGCAGAATGAAGAATGATGGCACGCGCCACAATCGGGTATAGACTACAACACATAATCATTCACCCGGGGATCCAAGGCGACGCAGACACCCTTGGTCACTCGCTGCGATATTCTTGTCCTACCTTTTCCTTTTCTTGTTCCTAAGCATATCGGCGGTTTGAGGATGACCGGCTGGGCATAATTTGGGTACCTTTACATATTTAATACGTTTCTTCCTTCCTTGCACACTAGCTTGCAAAGATATTGGATTACGAAAGCAGTGCGCTTCGTTGCTTCTTATCAAGCGGGAGTGGGTATTCTTGTGGGTTTCTGTCGTGTGCATCGTTGATGGACATGGGCCGTTGCGCTCGAACCCAGATACATACCTACATATGTACTCCCTACTCCGTCCTATAACCCCCGGCAGGTCCCACTTCCTTATTAAACGAGCATCGGAAATACGCAGATTTCGCGACTGTCATCCATATCGGCCCTCTCCGCCTCCCTCGATGTAATAAAGGACGAAAAAACGTTCGCACCAAGACCCAATACCACGTCACGTACACTGCTACCGCGTGAAATCCTAGAATCAACATTAGGCCATGCATGAGTCGTCTTCCAGTGCGATTGCGCCGTTAGTTACCCAAAAGGATCTTGCAGAGGTGCAGACATGCTTCAGGGTGGGAAAATGTACTGATAGAGGCTCTGATGAAGGCTACCCCAAGAAGAGATATGCCCATTCAAATACGAATAAAAAGTGCGCAAAACCTCCGCGCTCAGCTGTATATAACTATCCCTCTATGAACGGAAATAGCCAAAGACCTTTTTCGTAAAAGCGTATATGCGTCATCATACAGATCCCAGTTACATTACCCTTCATGTATTCATATTTCATGACTCCTTTTCTTTTTCAGCCCCGGGGGGCTTCGACCCCTTCTCCTTGATTTCCTTCCCAATGGCCTGCTCGACCTGCCAGATTGCTCTCTCAAGCTCGATTTCCAGGGCTGGCACGTCCAGTTTTTCGGAGAAGCTCCGCACCTGGGCCTGACTCAAGAGCAGTGTCTCCCGCGAGGTAGGGTTAGAGCTTGAGGAGCTCGGATCCGAGGGAGTGGGAGCCTGTGTTTTCTGCTGGGCGCCTGCTTGGCTGTATAGGGCATCAAGGACTGGGGATGCCGTCAGTCGGAGAAGCTTCTTGGACACGAGGAATTGGATGTGTTTGGCGCCGGCGATGGCGCGCCAGTGCGACCAAGCGCGGTAGACGAGGTAGAAGAAGGGCAAGTTGGGGATTCTGCGTGGCATTTCCGCGTTAGAGCCCGAATCTTTTTCTTTCATTCTTCAAGTCCTTTGCGTTGACCATGTGAAGAAGACGCAGATCGCTTCACACGAGTCTTTTCTGCAGACAACAAATTGGTACAAGTCGAATGATGGCCGACGGATTGACCAGGGATCAATCCCCTCTGACTCGCCAAGGGGGAACGTAGAAGGAGAGAAGATGAAAGGAAAACTCACATTGGCACAAGTGCAAAGGGAATCGTGATGGGCATTCCCACAATACACCACAACATTCTCCGCCTATGCAGCCCATCCCGCTCACTGCCCATCCTTCTCACCGCGTCCTCCGCTTGGGCCTCAGACATGAGACTCTGCGGAAATACCAGCTCGACGTGATCTTGGTCCTGCACCGGCGTCTGCTCCTCGCCCTTGTCCGCACTCTGCCGCCGCAGCTGCTCCCGACTCGACAACAGCGGCACAGTCTTGAGGCCCCATTCCTCGTAGGATATCCGCCGAAACGCGTGGTTCCCGTACTCAACCACCTTCTTCTGCCATCCTGACTCCTTCTTCTCCCAGTTGGACCACGTGCGCTCTGCCCAGGCGGCGCCGCGGTCGAAGTACGAGGTGTCAGTCGGGGCGGTCGCGTGGTGCAGGCGCTGGGCGTAGAGGAGGCTCCGCCGTGTGGAAAGGGGGAGGAGGTAGAGGCGCATTGTCATGATTTCTCGCTGTATTGAGTCCCCTTTGAGTTTGGGTTTTGCTGTTGTTCTCGGTTTATCAGAGCGGGAGCGTGTCGGGACAAGGAAATCGTGATGCTGGAGGAGAGGCGCCCACACAGCTTGAATGAGAACCAACGGACGATCGATTCTTTCACAATACGTTGCAGAGAATTGGGAATTTTTCTTGCAAAATATGCAGTTTCTTCCTCACTCTCAAAATTTCAGAGAGGGTGAGCGCAAAGATGTGAATGATTGAGGGAGGCGCAGCGATGGGAGGCCGTCCTAGTTTCCCCGTCCTGGGACTCGGGAGGAAGCGCAGAAGGGCGCAGCTTTGCGACAAAGTGGAAACGGCCAGGGATGAGATGCAGGGCGGATTCTACCTATTGTTCCATGGCGCAGAACGGCGAGAGAGAGAGGATCGCCGTGAAGCGTGGGCTTCGATGAGGACGCAGAAAGGGCAGGAAGAGCAGACCGAGCAGTAATGAAGGGATTCGTGACAGCAACTTGCTTACTTTCGTCGTCGAGTGTGCGCAATGCCCGACGTGGTGTCGTACTTGCCAGAGGCCCTGCAGCATCACGTGCGCGTCTTCTTGGATTGCCGGCTTTTGAACTTTGTCGGGATAGGGCCGCGGGAAATAGGCCATACAGCACACTGTGTTGGGCTTAGGGTTCCGATGCTGCATCGAGATTGCTGCGTGGAAGCTGATGAAAGCGGCTGTGGGTCATATCCTGTGTTCCGGCCAAAACCTCCATGTACTTAAACATTCTCCTCGCTGGTCATCTCGTAGTCTAGATTTTCATTGAATTTCAGTCACGTCTTTCTCTTCTTTGGTCAAGGCCTCTGGGGGTCATGAGGACTTCCATTGGCTTGCGCCTTTCGTTCGCGGTAGAACGTTACGGAATCATCTGAGGATTGCCGCTCACCCTCTTTGTCTTTTGTCTTGTCCTTTATTTTCTCACTGCACAGAAGTGAAAGACTTGATGAGGTTACGTTTTTTTTTTTGAGCTTTTATGGCTTCTAGAGCCGGGAAACCGACCAAGAAGTCACTCAAAAGCCACATGGTAGCTGCTATGAAGAGTGACGAGGCAGAGAACAGCCGCGAGTACTATCTACCTATTTCTACCTATTTGTTAATACGTTTATAATATGCAATTTTGAGAATAGTTATCACATTGTGGGCGAATGGTTTAGTGGTATAATACTCCCTTAGCATTACAAAGCCCAGAATCTGCGTGAGCCGTACTGAATGGGAGTGGTCCAGGGTTCGATTCCCTGTTCGTCCAGTGTATCTAGTTTTTGCTGCTTTCAATCCGTGGCCCTCATTTTTGAACACTGAAGGTGACCAGATCCTCCACACTCTGCAGGAATTTATTACATGTCTCTCATGGAAATTTCGCGCCCGACACGACTTTTTTGCTGTTCGTCATTTTGATGCCCAAGACGTTTCGAGGTGCGATACCCTGGTAATATGCGAGTTGTCAATACACATCGCTCTGACTGAACACGTACATACCGATAACGACCACAAGCTCAATGAAAAACTTTTCCTCAGAACGCAACTGTAGTGTATTAAGAAGGCAAAGTACGTTCCCCATCATGAATACTTCATATTTTCAACACATGCTGCTTGGAAACCCCCTCTCGCCCAACCTCATGTGTACACATAGATACAGACAGCACCGCACCCGCCTCTTACAAGCCCTCTCATCCAAGCTTTTATGGTACACACAGATGAAGAATGCCGCAGCAAAGCCCTCACCAAAATCTCCGTTATGACTGGGGATTCTTGCTCCAACCCCCCACGGCTCCTTTGCCCACAATCTTCTCGGCTGCCCACTTCCACGATGAGGGACTCAGAGTTGAAGACGTAGTTCCTGCTGTATCTGACGACCCTTTCGATTGCTGCGACTGCTGAGATTGCTGTTGCTGGCCAGCTTTCCCCCCTCTGTAAACTTCCATGTCGCTTTCGTTGTCGGTGTCCACCCAGTCTCGGTCACTCCATGTCATGGAATCCGCTCGGTCTGAGGTTTCGAGTCGCGGACGCCCGAGGAGGATGCTCTCGCTGTTGCTCTTCTTGGGAAGCTCGGACACCTCGTCCAAAGCTTCTTCGCCAGCTTCATTGACTTCTTCACCACTCTCGCGCTTGCTGCTCCCACCGCTGGCGTAGTCACCTTCGTTGCGCAGCTGGTGCAAGGGCCTTACTTCTTGTCCATCGGCGGCTGGTCCGTGATGAACTTCAAATGCTCGATCCATGTTGGGCTCTTCTTCATCGCGAATGCGTGCGGTCTCGGAATCGCTAAAGTGTGCGTCGACCATGTGTTTGATCACCGGCCAGCCATGCGCGTTTGCAAACATGCGTCTCACTATCATGTTGTTATGCGCGTCTGGCTCCAATTTGACCAGCACTTTGCGCCATGACAGATCCCGATGATAGCCTCGGGCAATTTTCTCTTCTACTTTCATGTTGGAAAAGTCCACGGTTTTCGAGGGGTTGAGCTCGGGGCTGGTCTTGGCTGTGTCGTCGCCGTTGTCTTTGCCCGAGACGGTTTCCTTGGAATCCGCATATAGCGGATTGTTGAGCGGGAGAGGGGAGGTTGAACGACTGCCTGGCTCTGATGGTTGCGGCGAGCCCGAAGTCTTGGCAGAATTCTTGCCGCGACGACCGAACGTCGACTGGCGTTTCTTCAACGGCGGCGGAGGCGGCGGCGGAGGGATATCACTGGGATGGTATACTCGGTCGTGAAAGATGGTTCTTGATCGCTTGGACGGGTCAAGTAGATATTCTTCGCTTGGGATACTGGGGTTGAGCACATCGCCTGCTGATTCGAAGAAGGTCGTCTTTGGCGGTGCCGACAGGCTATCGGCATAGCCATCAACGTCATGACCGGTAGTAGCCTTGCTTGGCTGCGGCTGCTGCTGTTTTCTATCAGACTCATCAGTGGAGCTCAAGGCGGCTATGTCGGGGCTGACAAGAGGCATAGTTTGTCCTCGCCGCAGCATCCTTTTCTGCTTCGCCGTCGGAACTGGGGATTTGGGCGGATCTTGGCTCTTGAAAAGACCAAAGAAGGTGGATAAACGAGAATTGGTACCAGAGCCTGGACCATTGTGATGGTTGTTGCTACTGCTGTTCTCTACACCCGGCTCGTCATCCTCATCACTATGGGCCCGCGGTACAGAACGAATGCTAGCTCGTTCGTCCTCATGCATCGCATCACCAGAGGGCTGCGGAACTTGTCGCATACCCTCTTTGGAAGAGCCCTTGGGAGTAGTGGTACCAGAATCGTCTTGCAGCTCTTCTGTCAAGGCGACTTGCTTCCTGCGTCTCGATGATGCCATGTTCGTGCCTGTTAGTTCTGCCCACCCGAACCCAACAACCGTTTCTACCAAGCCGGCATCTCTCCGAGCCTTTTCAACGCGGCCAAGACCCTGCCAGTCGAGAAACAGGAGACAGCTTGTGCGGAGCGGCACGATTCCGTCATTGACCACATTGGAGTAGACTGTGCGGTTTCTAAATTTCTTCAGGGCCGTGTGAGCCGGGCCGGTGGGCAATATTCGTAACAGCGGTTTCGACTCGGGCTGTGATTCACCATACACCTTCTTATGCGCCGACTCGCCGAGGTTGCTGACAAGAGCGCCCCATCCAATCCGAGCAATGGTAGGCGCTCTCCAGGTCAAGCCCAGATCTTGTCCGGTCCTACCCACAAGTCCAAAGTCAAGGGCGAACTTGACGTACAGTGGGTTCTCGTTGCTTAACCCCAGAAAAGGGGTCGCCATCGCAATGAAATTCACGGGCTGAATAAGATCAAAGAACTTGGGCGAATGTTTCTGTATGTAAGCAATAGCGTATGTTTGAATCAGACCGCCAAGAGAGTGTCCGACGAAACTTATGCTTGTGATCTGGTAACTTCTGAGGTGTTTATCATGCTTTGCATTGGTAGTATCGGCTTGAATGTCACTATTCTTGTGCGCTTGTTTCACCTCGTGAGTGCCATTTTGGTGTGACTGATCCTGGTGAAAGGGATGATGAGGATGGAGACTATGGTGGTAATGATGGTGATCACCCGCTAGGGCTTCAACAGCACCCTCACCGGCGCAGCCTTTCAAAGCACCTTTCGCGATCGGAAGAAATGGTTGGTCTGGGTACGTCATCGATAGAATATAACGCGATAATCTCTTTCCAAGGTACTTGATTCCTTTCTCTGTCTTTGTAGCATTTCCAGGATATCCACGCACAATGATTTCCTCATCGTCGTCGTCGTCGTCATCATCGTCCACATCATTTGAGATGTTATCCTGGCCTTCTTTAGGTGGCAAATCCTCGATCATCAAGCCATCAGGTTGCTTACTGGCCCTTGGCTTTTTTGCAGCTCTCTCCTTTGCCCTTCTAGCCTTCGAATCAATGCGTGCCTGTCTAGCGGCCGCATCAATGCTTTCTTTCATGTAAAGCATGTCAGCGCCTAAATTACCATGCAGACCATGCGTCAATATGACAAGATGGACCTTTTTCTTCTTCCCGTGAGGCTTTTTCGGTTGTTTCAGCTCCTCGATCTCCGGATCACCAGTGTTCACTACGCTCTCCACAGGTTGATTAGCACCGGCATCCTTTCCGGTGCTGTTGTTTCCAGCGTCATCATCCCAGCCGGGAAGGCTGGGCGTGTTCCAAAGCGCCGCGGAATCCTCCACCTTGAGCTGTATGGCCCTTGAGAAGACACCCTTTGGCTGACCGGGATGGTGCCCATCCTTGGCACCGACACTTTGCCGGTGGTCGATCAGTTTTCCGGGGTGTGGCACTTGGCTGAAGTTGCCCCCAATCGACGACAGCGACTGGCTGAGGTTGAGAGATTTATGATCGCGCGCCACAACTACATCGAAGCCCACGGCAGCTGAAGTAGAGAATATGACCTGGGAGGCTATTTCAATCACCCACTTTGCGCATTCTCCATCGTGTTCAGAACCCTTTCCAAAGGTTTTGTTGCTTCCAATGCCGGCGCCTTGGCGAATGTTGTCAGGGACGATCAGCTCGCACTCCCAGGATCCCCCCGCCTTGAGCATGGGCTCGAACCGGGGGGCTCCGTACCGGCGAGGATTGGTGAACTTTTCATTGGGATTGAAGTGAGAAGGATAGGCCGAAACGGACAGGGTATAGGGCCCGTGGACAAAGGCAGCGCGAAGGGCGATGGTCGAGGTATTTCGAATTCGAACATGTAGTTTTTCGGGGGAGGGGAGGATTCGATCTTGCGAGGGCGTGTACGTGAGGCTGTATCGGATCACCTCGCCGACCTTGACACTGCCGACCTGGTGCAGGAGCAGCATTTTTCCCACAACGCTTCGGCCCCAGAGGCGTCGTGAGAGATGGGTGAAATGGGGACCACGAAGGCTCGTGAGAGGGCGCCGTTGTCGCAGGCAGGTTATGATGTCAGCTGTCTTGCCAGCATCCTAGGCCACGTGGTATAGCGAAGTCCGAGCGCATGCAACGTAGGTATGTAATCGGACAGACGGAAACGACAAGAGCAGTGAGGCAAAGCCTATTTCCCAAAGCGGGCTTGGTGTATTAATGCTACAATGGCGAGGCGCCGAGCACAGGGTCTCGTAGATGCTTGGAAAAAGGGGCTGCGCGCGAGATGATCAATTCTAACAAGCTTGAAGGAGCGAACAGGGCACCCTGCAACTTGCAAGAGACGAGCACCTCGCTCCTGCCGAATGGGGAAGGGGCCGATAGCCGTGAAGCGGGGCGGGCGGTGGCCGTTAAACTTACCACTTACAACTTACGGTTGGGAGGCACATTACGGAGTACATACATATGTACATAGGTAGGTAGGTATACACCGTGCAGTATAACTCGGGCTGGAGGGTAAAATCACTTTGATGTTTGTTGATTGTGGCTGTCAGACTACAAGTGCAGAAACTTGTGCTGTACCCCAAAGTGAGAGCTAGATATGGGCCAGAACTGGACTCGAGCTTGGAAACAATCCCCAAGAACTGGTGACCGGATCTCACGAGTCACAACCCAAGTTGGACGCATGTACGGAGTACCTTCGCGTTGCTCTCCTCTCTCCCTCTCTCTAAAATGCACATCGTAATTCTCGTTTGAATAAGTTCCCATTTTCATTATTTCGTGCGTATACACAGAGTAGATACACCTCAAATCAACCTTGTTCCACGCGCACTTATTTATTACACCGTACACGCCACTTGACCGAGCAGATCAACACTACCTCCTAACATACCTAGGTAGGTACATACATACCTAGGTACTAAGTGCCTGGCCCACAAAGCCAGTACA